CTTGGTCTGATCGCGGGCAATGCCAACATAGTGATCAATCTGGGTCTTGTACTTCTCACAGTCAATGGGGACACTGAAAATGAGCAGTTCGGCAAGAATCAGAAGGGTGATTCCATTGAAAATGGCACCAACGTAGGTCATCAGCCACATGAAAACATCCAGCTTCAAGGAGTCAACCAAATCTTCCACCAGAAAGAGACGAATAATGAGTTTCAGGGCCCTGTTGATGTGCACCATGGCAGCATTCACGTGATTATGGAAAGCTTCTGAGGACACAGTAATGTCTACATCCAGGTAGGCTTTGAATGGATGGCCCTCTTCTGATTTCTGTATAGCTTGGATGACAGACTTGTACACCCTGAAGCTGATGGTGACAGAAGAGCCAGGACGAAGTAAGAAACCACACTGATGACACTGAAAGCTGCCAGGGGGAGAGCAGCATGATCAGTGTGGTGTCAGAGACAAACCCAGTCTTCTTCGCATCTTTCCAGAAAATCAGATCGTGCACCGCACAGGAGGGCGCTGAGGGTAAGGCCCCGGAGGACGGAGGACGAGGAGGAGACGGATGGGGACTGAGTGGCCGCCGACGGCTCCGCCTTGGCTGCACAAGCAAAGGCAGGAGAGGGGTGAAGAGAGATATGGGGCGGGAGAGAGGGAGGGGAAAGAAAATAATCGGGCAGCTGGCTCTCGAAAGTCCCTTCTCTCCTGGTGCTACGAGGACAGACTCCGACAGCTGGACAATTCTTTATGAGACTGAATGAACTGCTGTCCCAGGAAAATGAGAAAATGAGGATTTCTAGTTCCTGCTCACTAAAAGCCACTAGCATTCCTAATACTGTGACAAACCATCTAAATTTCCAAAAGTGCCTTCTTGAGGATGGTCCTTGACTCATAGGAGACCTACCATCATTTAGTGTCTTTGCAAAATCAACCAGTAGGTGACAGTATATACCAAAGTATTGTATTTTCGCTGCCCTTACACCCTTAATAACCTCTCCTCCTCAGGGAAAAATCATGGAGACTCTTAACTATAGGAAACAAACAGGGTTGCTGGAGGGAAGGTGGGGGTGGGGGGTGGGGGGGATGGGGTAACTGGGTGATGGACATTAAGGAGGGCACATGAAGTGATGAGCATTGGGTGTTATACGCAACTGATAAATTTATTGAACACTGCATCTGAAACTAACGAGGTACCAAATATTGGCTAATTGAATTTAGATTAAAAAAAAGAACTTCTTGGGAGGTAAGCAGGATTGGGATTGTAGGACAAGAGGATCTCACATCTCTTGATAATGTTTGATTTGTCACTACAAAAAAAGATGAATCAAACACGACAAAAATATTAAAAATGGATGTGAATGATGACACATGGACATTTTATTTTTCCTCTCCCTTTACATGTATTTTTCCCTTCTTAAAGGATCTATTGACAGAGATATCTGGACAGGCTATTACTAAATCATCACTTTGCTTCTATTCACAGAGAATAAAAATCATGGCAGTTGAGGAATAGAGACTCCCATTAACGGTTAAAAAGCAATGGAAACCCTATGATGTCATGAGAAGGCATAGGGAAGAACAACACATCGCTTGAGGGAGGCCAAGAAGTCATCACAGAGAAGGTGGGGTTTGAGTTCATCTTTAAGATCAGATGGGAACAATATTGGTGTATACAACGAGGCAATAACAATATCCATAGCTACTGTGTTATGAAGCTTCAGAGTTGACAATATTCTTTCACACATTTTATTCAAGTTCATCTTCTCATGTTGCTGCTTACTCTTAACCAGTACTACTAAAAGTGCAGTCGGCCAACGGGTGACCATTACCAATATTGAGAGACATAGAGACAGACATTGAGAGAAATGTTTATACCAATTTGACAATTTGCTGTCTGTTAACCATAACAATAACACATTGGGTCTGTGTTTTGTCCATTTAAAAATTTCATTTCTATTGTACTTTATCAAAATGTCAATCTTCAATGGATTGAAAACACATGCACGCATACATCACAAAAACACCTGGTCTTCATCTACCAAAAGTTTGAGCAGCGTTGGCTTCAGATCGCCGAAACAGCCAGAAGGCATGAGGCAGGTGAGTAGGGCAAGCTAGAAGAAAAAGGCATACATTTAATAGTTTCCACCAGTAACAAGTGTGCTCATTAAATTTTATTCAGTCCTCCCCAAAACCCAATGGGATTAGTAGTATGGTCTTGATTTTGCAAAAGAGAGCAGAAATTAGAGATGATAATGAACTTGCCCCAATGGAGCCAGGGATCAACCTGAGGTCTGTTAGAATTTTCAGCCCTTTTAAGATCTTCATACTCGGTTTAATCACCATGTCAGTGCTGGTCCTTCAACCAGCAACACCTATAGACCATGATCTATTCTGGGACAGTTGCTCCTGAGCTCATGGACTCAGCATGGGTGCTCACATGTCCTCAGGAGTCAGAACAATCTTGCCCTAATTCAGGAAAAAGGATCTGTCTTCTGACCCAGTAGAGCATGGTGTGTCTCATATGTCAAAAGAAAGGTTGAAAGGGAGACAGAACATGAGAGACTCCTAACTCTGGGAGACGAACTAGGGGTGGGGGAAGGGGAGGTGGGAGGGGGCTGGGGGTGACTGGGTGATGGGCACTGAGGGGGGCACTTGATGGGGAAGAGCACTGGGTGTTATTGCATATGTTGGCAAATTGAACACCAATAAAAAATAAATTTACAAAAAAAAAAGGGTAGGTTGAAACAATGACAGCAAACCAGTCCTCACTTCCCATTCAAATGTACACACACAGAAAACCCTTCTCATCAAGCAAGAGAATTAAATTCTGCTCTTTCTCACTGGAGCAGTACTAGGTCTTTTCCTGACTTGATTTTTTTTTCCTTATGTTGAGGTGCTTTTTTAAAATCATAAACTTTCATGATAAAAGGTTTTATCATGTTTTTTATCATAAACTTTAAACAAGAAAGTATTTTGCAAAAACCATTTCTCTTTATTTTTCAGATAAAGAAAGTTGCCTGCATGTAAATGAAAAACACAACTAGGGATCCCTGGGTGGCACAGTGGTTTAGCGCCTGCCTTTGGCCCAGGGTGTGATCCTAGAGACCCAGGATCGAGTCCTGCATGGGACTCCCTGCATGGAGCCTGCTTCTGTCTCTCCCTATGTCTCTCATGAATAAACACATAAAATATTTTAAAAAATAAAAGCAGTAAAGATATTAAAGAGAACAACTTTTAAACACATATTATGTACATGAAAACTTCACACAATGTTATTAAGCCACACAACATCCATATAAGGTAGGAATTATTATTCCTGTCAGGAGATGGAGGCTCTGAGAAGGTAAGCAGCATATTCTATGTTATACAATTAAAACGTAAGTGACAGCCAGCTGTTAAGCTCATTAATTCTGGGACCTCTACTTCTGTTAAATGATTTTTTAAAAATATTTTATTTATTTATTCATGAGAGACACAGAGGAGAGAGAGAGGCAGAGACACAACACAGGCAGAGGGAGAAGCAGGCTCCATGCAGGGAGCCCGACGTGGGACTCGATCCCAGGACTCCAGGATCAGCCCCTGGGCTGAAGGCAGCGCTAAACCGCTGAGCCACCTGGGCTGCCCTGTTAAATGATTTTTATATTTTATACAGAATGAAGCTCTTAGAATCACATTCATTTTGAACTATGTCTCGCTTGCTCTACACTTTTGCCATGGTTTATTTTAAAAGTTATAAAAGTTAGATAATTTCTCTTGTGAAAGAATTGCCTAATAGCTATTGTCGAATTTACAAGGGAGTTGGACAATTAATTGTTCTCTTTCTGGAGTATGGTTGAGCATAACCTTGAGAGTCTCCAGACCTAAGGCTCAAGGGCTGCCTAACTGACTTTCTAGTTGTGAAATCTAGGCAGATCACTTCACCTTTGTATGTTTAAGATTTTCCAATTGTATGTTGACAATAAAAATACCCAACTCTCAGGGTTTTTGTGAGGATAAAGTAAATAATATAAAGTGCTTAACAACATATAAAGCACACAATAAATGCTCAATGAATTGTTGTAAATTTTAAGTAACGATCTTGTAGAATGTTGGAGAAGGCTACAGTGATCTTTAAAAACAAATGACAAGAAGAAAAGACAACAATAAAATACAATAAACCTGAAGGAGAGTGGGTATAAACAGTTTTGAGTAGCAGAATTGGTATAAAATATACAAAGATCATTTGTTTTTCCACAGCGCTCCCATTTTCATTTTTCATTCTGTAGACTTACGACAAATCTGCAATTAAAAGATTGTCTTTCCATATAGTTTTCACTAAAAGAAAAAAAAATCCCATATACTTGTAAAGGTGCAGAGACGTATGTATATGCTAAAATTGTTAAAAGCTGCATAAAACCTCAACACACAGATACCCCTTTACTATAATGCGGTAGGTGTCAACAAGTGGCAGCCGCAATTATCTTTACTTTGCAAAAGAAGAAAATGAAGATGAAGCACGTTTTGGTAGGAAATTACAGGCGCGGAGCCGGATCCCAGGTCTGCCTGATTCCCAGGCCCGCGTTCTTTATTGATTAGGCTCTGAGGTTAGGAAGCTGCCTCTGGTGCAGGGGGATGGGGACGAGAATGCCTAATTTCACCCACCGCTGCAGTGACGTGTGTATCCTCCAGTGCTCACTATTTAGCTATTTTGCTCGTGTTTTTACTCGGGCAATTTGGAGCATAGACAGGATAATAAAAACACCTTTACGCTTGTGACCTCCTGGCCTGCCCCCAAGGCCCCGCCGCGCGCGCACCGGGCAGGTGGCCGCCGGGTCCCGCAGCACTCGCACCGCAGCCCCGGAGCCCCGCCCACATGTTTATATTTTGCTCCCTCGGCCCCGCCCCCGGCCACGCGGGGCTCCAGCCGCCGCCCCCGAAGCCCGAGTCCCAGGGGCGGACCAGCCTCGCGCTCCAGCCCACCCTCCGGGATTCCCTCCGCAGCCAATCGCGGCTGAGCAGCCGGCCTGCCCCTAACAAAGATGGCGGGGGAGGCCTCGTAGGGGCAGGCTGATTTAACACCCAAACCCGCGGCGGCTAAGGAAGACAGCGGGAGCGACGCGGCGCGAGCATGGAGGAGGGCGGCAGCGGGGGCAGCGACGGCAGCACGGGCGGCAGCGGCGGGGCGCAGCAAAGGGAGCTGGAGCGCATGGCTGAGGTCCTGGTCACCGGGGAGCAGCTACGGTAAGGCGCGGGGCAGTGCCGGGGCGCGCCCGGGGCGCCGCCAGCCTGGGTCGGCAGCAGCCCGGCGCGCACACGCGCTGGCTCGGGCGGGCGGTGCGCCCCTGCCCGGCTGCTGCAGCCCGGCGCCCTGCGGTCAGCACGCGCGCAGGGGAGCGGGGGTGCGCGCTGCGCCTCGGCCGCCGCTGCAGCCCTGCGCCCCGCGCCCCGCGCGCGCTCCGCCGGGCACCTGCGCGCTGCCGGGCCTCCAGGCTGCCGGCCGACCCCTGGGGCGTCGGGAGAGCGAGGGGCTGGGTGTGCGCCCCAGGCGCCTGCAGCCCTCCAGCCTCCTCGACGAGAGGGCCACCCCGACCATTGCCTCCGCTCGGGGCTTTCCATTTGGCCGGCAAGCCCCGCTGCGCTCCTCCGACCCTCGGCGTTTGCATCTGTAAAATGAGGCTGATCGCCGGGACCCCCTTGACGGGGCGTTGTGTGTGTGTGTGTGTGTGGGGGGGCTAAACCCCAGGTTCGGAAAAACGCCCAGCACTAAATCGGCACGGCCTCATCAGTCGTCGGCCGGGTCCGCGAGGGGGCGTGGAGGCACCCTGTCCGGGCGCCCTGCAGCCCTGCCAACTCCGCTAGCGCACGGGTTTTGCAGAGCAGAGTCCACAGGCCCCGGGCTGCTGCAGGAATTAGGAACCGACCGGCCTCACCGCACCCGGGACAGGCAGTGAACCCCAGATCCCAGCCCCCTCCCTTACCGATTCGCATCCCATCCTGGCCATCCTTGGATTGGTGTTTGAGTAACGTACTTCTGCGGTCTGACCAGTTCCGCAGCTGCCCGTCGTTTGGTCATAAATCAGTTTGCCCGGGGGGGGGGGGGGACCTGGCTCTGAAGCCAGTTTGAGCTGCAACTTGCGTGCCGGCCCCTGGCCCAGCTGGAACGGGGCGCGTGCCCGTTCCTTCTGAAGCTTGGCCCGAATCTCCAGGCTCATTTTGGTTTCTAAACGCTCTGTTTCGGGACCCGAAGGAGAGGTCCTCTTTGCAAAGGGTCTGTGAAGGTTTAGTGACCACTCTGCTTGCAGCAGTTACATTGAGGAAGTAAATGTTGGAAGTTAGGGTTTGTTGAGTTTAACGTTACAGAAGGCAAATTGCACTCTCCAATCCCTCAATGATTTTTAAATGCGTAATCAAAATTAAAGGGAATAAAGGCTTGTTTTTCCTTCATCAAGAGTATCTTCTCACTGAATAAAAATTAAAGCTTTCCTGATTCAATCTGAAACATTTGCTTTTTAATAATTTATTTGCTCCTCATTACTCTATCCCCCTTTTTTTTTTTGAAGACCTCAGTTGGGTACTTTTCATTTTTTTAGAAAGATTATTTATTTGAGAGGAGGAGAGGGGCAAAGTGAGAGAGAAAACAGACTCCTCGCTGAGAGCCAACCAATCTCACCACCCTGAGGAGATCAGGACCTGAGCCAAAACCAAGAGTCAGACAACCAACCGGGCCACCCAGGCGCCCCGCATTTCTTTTAAAATAACAAATTGCATGGTGCCTCTCTTTGACAGTAAGCACGTAAGCCCTCAAGAGGCAGCTTGAATGCCTCTTCTTTGGAGGGTCTTCAGTTGTTATTCCCCTCTTCCCTAGCACCCCTCTGTACTGCAGTAGGGTTGAGGGCCACGCTTAGCTTGGTGGAAAGAAGAAAGGAGGCTCTCTCTCTCTCTTTCACTCAAGAGTTAGACCTGGGTTTGATTTTCTGCTTAGCCACTTTGCAGCCAATGGTACCATTAAGTTGTTTCCAAGACTGCTGCTAGAGTGAGTCCTGGGTTTGCCCTTTACAGAAGCTTGAGACCATGAACAAGTTACTTAACTATGAATGCTGGGTAATAATGGAACCTACCTCCTAGTGTTATGAGGATTAGATGAGTTAGTGCTTAGAACAGTGTTTGGGGGCACCTGGGTGGCTCAGTCGGTTAAGCAGCTACATTTGGTTCAGGTCATGATCCCTGGATCCTGGAATGGAGCCCCACGTCCGCTGAGCAGGGAGCCTGCTTCTCCCTCTCACCTCCACTGGTGCTCTCTTGCTATCTCTGTCTCTCTCTCTCAAAGAAATAGATAAAATATTAAGAAAAAAAAAAAAAGAACAACAGCGCCTGGTATATAGTAAGCACCATGTCCGCATTAGCTATTATAGCTCTGTGACCTTGGACAAGTTAACTCACTTCTCTGGGCCTTTGTTTCCTCATCTATAAAGTGGCAAGGAAGATAAGCAGTTCATGGGGTTGTTGTGGGAATTTGCCCTCGAGCTTCTGTACTAATGAGCATTCAACAATGGTTGCTGGAATTAATCAGTATTATTGGTTTATGCGTGTCACCACATGTGACTTCCAGCCAAGCGAGATCTACCAGGAAGGATTGGGTGGTGGTTAAGAACATGGGGTATAGAATCAGGCTGCCTGGGTTCTTACTTGCCTCCACCATTAAATAGTTCTGTGACTTTGGGGTTAATTTACTTAATGCTCTGTGCCTGTTTCCACATCTCTTGCAAGAATATTGTGAGGATTAAATGAGATGGTCCATGTGAAGGGCTTAGAAAATTTTGTTTACTATTTAAATTTACTTTGTAATCATTGCTTTTTAAGTCTCAACCATGTTAGCACTGGGTCTAGCACATAGTTATTACTCAATACATATTTGAGTGACTAGTAGTATACATGATTAAATATGCTACAGTACAGAAGATATGTTCAGAATTTAGGGATGTAAGTATACCCTGGCTTCTTGATACTGGAGGAACCTCTCATGAAGGGGTGGGGATGCAACCATCCTCGAAAGCCATGTCACAACATGTCCTAACATCCTGAGCTGCTGTGACTGGGGGGACTTCATGATGTGCAGGCCTCCTACCTAACTGCTTCGCATACAACTCCCTTTTGTCTTCCCTTACTTTCCCATTGCTTTCTTGATCATCAGAGATGAGGCAGAGATGAGGCAGATGAAAGTGATAAGAAATGGGGACACCAAGGATTGGGATTTGAAATAAAAAATTTGGCTTCCAGGCCCAGCTCTGTGCATTTTATTTAATGCTTATTAAATAAATACACTATTTAATATTCATGAAACACATGTATATATATACGTATGTACATATTTTTAACCATATTCCCTTGACCAAGTCAGCCACTCTGGGCCTGTCTACCTGCAGAATGGGAATAGTAATATCCTTCCACATAAGATTTGTGGTGTTGGATCACATGGGCTAGAATGTGGGAGGGAACTTTGTAAAATAAACCATAGACCCAGATTAGTTCTTGTTGGTCTGATTATTGTAAGCTCCAGCTATGAAACTGAGGGCTGGCTCTACAATCCTGACACTTTGAAGGGCAGTTGGCTGTCTAAGGAAGTGAAATTAACAAACTTAGAAACCTCTCCTGCTTCCTTTTCCAGCCTGACTATGGGGTCCTTTTCCTAATCTCTTCATTCTTTCCCTTTTCATAAAAGATTTTACTTCCTTGAATAATGTATTTTTATGGTTTTGCATTTGGGTACCATTTTCTACTGACATGATGGCTATAATAAAAAAGACAGTAGTAAGTGTTGACAAGGATGTGGAGAAATTGGAACCTCTATATACCACTGGTGGGCAGGTAAAATGATACAGCCACTTTGGAAAACAGTCTGGCATTTCCTCTAAAGATGAAACAGAGTTAACGTAGGACTCAACAATTTTACTCCTAGGTATACAGTCAAAAGAAATGAAAACATACGTCCACATAAACATTTATACCCAAATGATCACAGCAGCATTATTCATAATAGCTAAAAACAACTCAAGTGTCCATCCACTGATGGATGAATAAACAATGTGTGGAGTATCCATGAAAAGAATATTATTTGGCATAAAAAGGAATAAAATTACTGATGCATACTACCACATGGGTGAACCTTGAAAATATGCTAAGTGAAAGCAGACACAAAAAGCCACATGTTGTATGACTCCATTTATATGAAATGTCCCAAATAGGCAAATGCATAGAGACAGGAAGTGGTTGCCAGCAGCAATGGGAAGAATGGAGGGTGAGTGCTAATGGGTATGGAGTTTCTTTTGGAGATGATGAAAATTTTATGAACTTGATTGTGGTTATGATTTCATAACTCTGGGAATATACTTAAAACCACCACATTATATTCATTAAATGGATGAATTATGTGGTATGTGACTTATATCTCAATAAAACGATTACAAAAATGCATTTAGATGACACATTACAGAGTGATAAAAGACAAAATTTAGAGGTTTTTAAATAAACTTGTACTTTTTTGATTGGCTAAAGAATGCAATGATATTTATCACTAACTCAATAACATATTATTACCATACCAGATGGAACTGATATATTTTACGTATTTTAAAAAAATATTTATTTATTTATTTATTTATTTATTTATTTATTTATTTATTTATTTATTTATGAGAGAGAGAGAGGCAGAGACATAGAGAGAGGGAGAATTGGGCTCCTTACAGGAAGCCTGATGCGGGACTCGATCCCAGGACCTGGGACCACACCCTGAGCCAAAGGCAGATGCTCAACCACTGAGCCACCCAGGAGTCCCTACATATATGTTTTTATAGTAATATTCTTGATACAAAACAGAAAAGGTGCCATGAATAGTCGAGAAAATCTCAGAACATTTTAAATTTGAAGAAAATTATCCATATATAAATCATTCATGAGTGGAGTTTCATATTATGAATTTTCAGATCATTTGTTATTTTTATGTGTTCTGTGTATATCTTTTATCTTGAAATTTGCCCATGTAGTCCTAACTATGACACACTAATTAAGACATCCAAAATCCACGTCATGTTTCTTCTCTAGGATAATCCCAGAAATACTTAACAAGAAAGTGGTTTGTGATAGAGCATCTCAATAAAGAAACCCAACAATATCACTATTCTCTTTGTGCTGATGGTAGACATGGCAATAATAACAATAAGACTCACTTATATGGCATTTATTAC